TTTTGCTAAAGCTTGTAAGAACATGGGATTTGAGGCCATATTCATTCCCAGGTAATTGGTAATCCTTGTATGTGTATGGGAAGTCCTGAGGTAGCCTCTGGATTATTACTTCCTTGGCAGTATCTACTGCCAAGAACTCCTTTTATGTTAGTTTGGGGGGGTTTTTTTGTCGGTTGATTTTTTTGTTGTTGTTTTTTGGTGGGTATTTTTGTTTGTTTGAGGGGGTTTTTTTAACAATTTGTCCCTTATGCTGGTTTCTGACACTTTGTTTTAAAAGGCTGCAGAAGATTAATAAATTAGATCTGGGGGAAGAAAATAGATAAGATGATGATTACCAGATAAGCTTTGCTGTTGTGGTGATGGGTGAATTTCTCCTCAGAACCAATCTAAACCAAACTAATGTCTGAGATACACTTTACTCAGCTTTTATTCACACCCTTTTCTTCCAGTGTGTAACTGCTTCAGAATGGAGATAAAAGGAAAAGTACCACAATCATGTCTTGCAAATTGTGACTGTCAGGAAGATGAGCTGTTAAGCTAACCCAAAATTTGAATTGAACTAATGTAACTGACAGGTTTCTAAAAGGATTTTGTCCTCAAGGTTAGATTTGGGTGAGTGCAGGCTAGGAAATCATACCACACCAATCAGGAATAACGGCTGAGGTTACTTAAGAAAGGTAAACTTTTCTGATTTGACTCATGCTGTATTGAAAGCTCTACTGCTTTTCTGCTTTAATGTGATGATTCCCAGATTTCAGGTATATTAGCTCTTCAGTCTATTGAAATGATTTCAATTTTCTCAGACTTGTCTGTGTCTTCTTCTCTAGTTGCTAGTATGTATTATGGTATTCCAGTTTTCACCTCTTCCTTCTCTTCCATTTTCCCCTGAATTGTGAACCTCCTTATTCATGCTGATTTTGGGAACTGAGCTATGATTACCTGTGTGAAGGTGCTTTGCTTTCATGTTCAGCTCTGCTGTAGTTTGCAGCAATTGCAGTGTCTGAACACAGGTGGGATCCTTTCTTTGTTACATATATTGTTAGTGCAAAAAGCCAGGACTTCCCAATCCATTACTTCTTTCCTTTATAGTCTTAGTTATTTGATAACTTGATGGGCTAGACCACAGGGCAAGGAGGGTTTCAAGGACATCAGAATAAATGCTGTCTTGGACTTCAGTTTCAGCAAAGGCTTTGATTATTCTTTTTTGTAAGAAAATCAAGCAGAAATGCATCACCTTATTTTTAATGCCGTCTTCTTATCACTCCCTGGGCTGTTCGTTCTCAAGTTATCATAGCAGTCTCTTTACTGTAATGATTATAATGGTCTGTGAAACACTTTATACAGAAAACACACAGAAGTGAAACAAAGAGTTTGTTAGGAATATAGTCAGTAATTTGTGGAAATAAACGCTGTATGAAATATAGGGGTATAAAATAAACTGTGGAAGGGGGGGAAGAATCCCTTTTTCCTTCAGGTTGGGAATTCTTGGCCAGATGACCCACGGCAGATGGATATCACGGCATTTGCATCCAAAGAGGACTCCAGCTGCACTAAGGATGAGCATTCAACAGCACCTACACCCAAAGACGCCAGGTGCTGATGGCCCAGACAGATGCCTATCTGAGGGGGGGGCCAGGATCATCATCACCCTGAATCCAAATGCCAAATTCCGGGAACCAGGGAAGTGCATCATTCTATTCCCAGACGAAGGCTTTGTGCAGCCCAAGCCAGAGAAAGAAACCAACATGACTATGAAGAACTCCGAAAGAAACAAAGACTTTCTGCCGCGGGCGAAATAAACTGTATAAGAACTGCTACCTCGAAGCAGTTGGTGTGGACGGGGAGGTCAAGGCACCAGTGAGGGGGTGCTTTCCTCTCGTTCACCCGTATCATCGACCGGGGGTGATACGCTGTCCGTTTTTGGTAGTGGCTATCAGACTGTTATTACGGTCGCGAAATAAATTTTATCTTTCATATTTTTATTAAAATTGGCTGACTCGCAATTTTCATTTATAACAAGTTTTAAATCTACCAGCAAAATGCTGCTAGAGGAACATTCCTAATAACAATTTTGAGTCAAAATTTCAAACATATTGGGAATTTATTTGCAGAGACATGTTCAAAGAAACAACAATTTTCAGGCATTTATATACACTATAACATTCAAGATTTTTTATAGACACTCCAAAAAATCTATCTAATTTACTGCATCATGGTATATGTGTTTTGTTTCTTTTAAGTACTTCCAGAACATTTAATCTATCTCTGTTTAATGGATAACCCAAGTTTTATCCAGCTAAACAGTGCTTTATTAAATTTACTGTCCTGGTTAGACAATTCCTATTGATTAAGTTTTCTGGGGTGTACTCAGCTACGAAATGGCTCCCTTGCTTCTCCTGCAATGTGCTAGTCAAGTTTTCTGGGATGTATAGAGCTTTGACTCCTTATCTTTCTTGTTCTGTGACTTCTAATTAATCTCTGGTTAATTGATAACCATTGAATAATTCTTCGTTGAATTTTGTTCTTCAACTATTGATTAGGTTCTCTAAGAGGTATGGGTCCATGGAGTTCCTTCCTGCAGTTACAGTGAGGTAATTTCTCAGGGTTTTCTACTGACACTCAGCCAATACAGATCTAAATAAAAACCAGCTAAAATCACAGTCAAACTTTTTTAACTAATTAAATGCAGTTAATTACAAAATTTTTTAAAAGTCACAAAACTCGTGGTTAGCTAAGATATAATTAAATGTCAAAAGAAATGTATTATTCAAACCTACTGACATTGAAAACAAAATAGTATTACAGTTTACAAGAGCAAGTTACTGTTCTTGGAACTGAGATTGTGGCTATGACATACTTAGTCCAGTAAAATTTAGCTGGAACTCACAAATGTTGTTTCACTGCTGTTTATCATTTGGAGTTATTTAATGTGCTTAAGCAATGTAATCCTTACCACTTCTTATAATTCTATATCTAAACATACAAAATCATCTTGGTTTGTTAACCTGGAAATTAGTTTGTGGATCCATTAATCAAACATGTGTCTGTATTGTTTTCTGTTTGATTTGGGATTGTTTTATGACCTGCAGAAAAGTCTCCTAGTCTTGAAGTGGCTATAATGATGTGATTGCAGTAGAAAAAAAGAGAAATAGTAGACAGAAAAATTGTCCTGTTTCCAAAATTAGGCCTAAATATAACAAAAAAGGGTTTAGTGAAATGAGTGTGTCAGTATTGGTCCTAAGCAGGATCACTGCGCTGCAGAGAAAGCCCGTGTATTCCAAAAAGTAGGGATGTTTGATAGGAAGGTGAGGATTCATGTGAATAGGAGATCTGAGAGTGGAAGCGCATGACGAAACAATAGAAGAGAGACAGAAATGGGCAGTACTGATGGCACGTAGATTTGCAGATCGTCATGATTACAGCACGTTTGAAAGGGCCAGGTAGGGAAAACAGAGGACAACCCGGAGCAAGTAACAAGTTCCTGTACTGAGACGTGAAGACTGAAGCTACTAAGATGGGATAGTGGGACAGTAAAGAACAGGGCTGGAGCCTTGGAGGCATACAGACAAAAGAGACAAAAAGCAGGGAGTCAGTATTGATGGTTCACAAACATGTGACAGGATGGAAGACAAAGCATTTCTGAATCACTGTTGGCTCCCCGGGGCTACAAATGGCGCATCAGTGAATGGCTGCCAGCCTAGCCAGCATCCCTTTGTCCCTGCTCATTCCTGGTTGGACCACTTGGGTACCTATCTGAATGCAGGGCACATAGGTGGGACAAATCCCTCTCAATGCTTATGAGTGTAAGTTAGTGAGTGGGATCAGTTTTGTGTTTTTCTGAACTCACTTTTTGCTCCTGTAAACATGTTTTCTCGTTTTGCTTTGTTGGTATTGCAGCGTCATGGTATCTTTTGTTACAGCCAAACACTATTGGTACCAAAGCAAATGCTTAAAGCAGTAGATACAAATGCTGGCCCACTTACCTACTGTGGAATGCTTTGATTTTGATGATATTTCATTTTGTGAAAGGTGATTTCCCTAGCACACACTTCTGGTGCAGGAAACCTTCACTTTCATTGTGTTTCTTTGTCATTGCGGAACACGGAATATCTCTGTTTCATCACAGAAAATTGTCAAGTGCTGATTAGTTTCTGGATTTGGCAGACTCTTTTATCTAAATAGTGTCCTGTTCTCCCTGATCCTTGCATGTGCATCTTTAAACACGTTTTGCTTTTTTTTCCCTCAGGTCCTTGGTACTAATTATCACTTCTGTCTTCATGGGTTTTGTTGCTATATATTGCTTTCTTTACACTTTTCGCCCTTCATATTGTACTTGTGAGTTTTCACAAAAAGAACAAAAGCTGAAGACTGTCCCCTGCAGAGTTTTCTCCCTTGCTACATACCTCATTGCAACATAGTTGGGGCAAAATGCCAAAATTTGCTGTTGTTTCTTAAGGTGGCTCGTAGATAGAGGCTTAGCCACGCAAGCTCTCCTTGTGCTGCGAACAGCGAACATGTCAGGGCGCACCCTATGAGTGGCGAACGTATTTACTGTGTTAAAGTATGAATTGAGCAATGAAATGGACATTAATTTTTAATTAGGTATTTCTGCACAGAGCTAGAACTCTTCAGAGTTTCAGGGCTCGATGGGTAAAATGTAATTTGAAGAAATTCCTGTTGTGGTGGATAGTCTTGTCTCCCGACTGCAGTATTTTGTGGATTCTAGAACCGCAGGTTTTATGCATTTAGCACTGCATGCTTGACAACATGCCTGTGCAGCTGGCTGGGCACTGAACTTGGGGGGGTTTGAGGGGTTGATCTCAAATCTTAATGGGAAGGAGGTGAATCATAATGGGTGTGCCTTATGCTATGTTTACTTACTTCCGAGAAAGTGTACTGAGAGTGGTACCTACCGACAGCAGACCTTTTATTCTTTTATAAGTGTGTGTGACTGAGGGAGTCCAGCCAGTGACTGAGCGGACGCAGAAGGTTGTTGACTTTTCAGCAGAAGACCCAGTTTTCGCCTGCCTGCTCTAAGTATAAACTTCTCTTTTTTAATTCTTGTTGATTCACTTGGGGGTAAGAAGGGAAAAGGACCTGTGAGGATAGAATTAATGGCAGTAATTTGTCTGTTTCTGTCTTGTATGGATAATAGTGCTCCCAGTTCCAAGCTCTAAGCTTTGCAAATGGAGAAGTGTTTTCTTTCAATATGATGAGTGTCACAGAAAGAGATCTTGCTTACTTTTGTTTTTCTCATTTGCCATTTGGTTTAAACTTGTAAAAGTTTAGGTTCAGTAGACATCTCAGGTAATGGGGACAATAGACATAAGTTTTAAATTTTATTTTCTAAATATTTTTTTTTCCTCCTAGAACTAGTAGATTTTCCTTCTGTAGTATCTTTAGAGTGGGAGTTGTACATTTTGCTAGGATGACTTCCCACATGAGGACTTGCTGCCAGCAGGCAGAAAGGTCTGACAAGTCACAGGAAGGTCTGGGTTGCTAATGCAATAAGGGTACTTTTCTGACATTTTCTTAACCTGGTGATACTACCATAGACAAGCAGAGGCTTTCTTGTGTGATGGCACATTATTGAGATAGGTATTTTTTCTGATGAAATCTAAACCAGCCCCATGAGCAGCCCAGAACTGTTGGACATCGCTTAGACAGGTGTGCTTTGTCTGTTTGTACACAGGATGGTGATTGCCAAGGCATGGGCTCTAAAGAAGCATTTTGATGGTTTTCCCAAAACCAGTGACTTTGACCTGGAAAAGATAGAGCTACCAAATCTAAAGGATGGAGGTGAGCAGAGCACTACTTTTTACTACTAATTTTTGTGGAGGTTATATGATTATTGATGTGTGGCTGTAGATCTATAAAACTGCATGTTTCTCTTTGGAATTCCAAAAATTGCTGGCTTGTCACACAACCCATGCACCTTAAGGGAGAAGGACAGTTGCTGAAGAAGTGTACTGATGGGGTTGGTGGTTTCAAAGACACCTTGCCTTCTGATAAGGCCCTTAGAAACAATGATTGAATTCTATAGTCCATTGCACAGCAAGCGGGGCCACTTTTCACAGTTTCTGCTGCCTAGTTACACTTGCTACCTGATGACAAAGGCATTTGAATGTGTTTGCAAATGGAAAAAAATCACCGAAGTGGTGTGGCCTCAAAACAAACAACCACAAGGAGAAGGAAATTTGTTTAATGCAGAAAAAGAGAAGTGGACTCTGACTCAGAACCAATGAAGTAACTGTATTAAGTTTCTTACATGCTTTACTAGTAAAATGTTTTTATCTACTTTAATTTTCAAAATCTTTGGAAAAAGATGGAGAACACGATACCCTATAGGAGTAGGTTTTCAGTGGAGTTTTTCATGCTGATAGAGACAATATTGAGAATAGTCGTTGGGGAGAAAGGAGTGCCTGCACTGGGAATGAGCCTGCAGTTGAAAGACCTCGGGGCTGAAGATGAAAGATGGCATGATTTCTGTCTTCGTTCAAAATCTATTTTTTTTTAGCATTCCTTAGCTTATTTGATCTGTTGCAACAAGAAGAGACGTTGAATATAAATAGAAAAAAAAAAAGACATTTTTTATTCCTGTGTTTCTCTGTTTTGAAAAGATTAAGGAATATGATAACTTACCATCATATCAATAGCTGTTGATAAAAGAATGAACTTTGATTTTTGGTTTCACATGGACATTTGTACAGTATTTTCTTGAGACTCATCCCACCACTTGTCATTTACAACATTTGCCACACTTTAAAAGGTGTGTAGAAGGAACTGTGCAGAAGGACATTAAAGTACCAATTATGTTTACAACTTAAATATTTGAAAATGGATTTCTTCCTACATTTACGGATATACTTAAAAATGTAATGCATGTGCCTATTTAAGAACGTGGAGTATTTTTTTCCTTCATATTTTAATCCCTAAAGCAAAATGAGGCATAAGTTCACACTACAATGACACTTCTAAAGGCATTGGCCTTCCTTGTTATGATACGTGGCTTTTCTGCTCACTCTCGAGTAATGGGAAGGTACTTACATCTGAGTACATTTCCAGCTAGACTGCTGCAGAACAGGCAATGAAAAATATTAGTAGGTGGAGATGAACTGCTAGAAATACTGTGTACATGAGAAGTTTAAAACAGGTTTAACAATGTCTTTCCTAAGAATTAGCATTGTTAGAGACAGTAAAGTGGACTAGGCTATTTAGAAAAGCTAAACTAATGCCTTCTGTTTAAGGCAGCCAAGGTTTGTATTTGACCTGTGCCACCCTCTTCTGGCTGAATCATGGGATGACATTTTATATACATGGAAATTAAATGAGAATTTTGTTTAGGAATTCTGGCTGCTTGACTCTTCTGTAGAGAGAGGAGACACATGCAAAATTGCAAGGTTGAAAATAAGATAGTTTGCTAAAGCTACACTGGAGAAATTTTCTTTTTCAACAGCATACCTATAAACCAAAACTAAAGAATGTTGTAGTTGTTTCTGGAAGGTTTTTCCTAAACAAAGACAGGATATGGGGGTTTTGACCTGTCAGGAGTTCATATGAATTTAGCTGAAAGACTGACTTGTGGAAACTATGCTTTACTGCACTGTTAATATCCAGGAATTTGCTTTGTCTTTCGTTGCAGAGTTGCTGCTTGAATCAGTGTTTCTCAGTGTTGATCCTTACATGAGGTATACCTTTTTGTCCTTTCTGAATTTCTGGCTAAAGAGCTTCATTTGAATTGCCATTTAAACATCAAACAACACTGGGCAGCACCCACTGCTGCTGTCAGTGTCCCAGTGCCTTTGTGTGCTTTTTAAAAAAATGTATGTGAATTACAAGACTCAATATATGGAGCTGTGCCAGATTTAGCTAGATGTTGGGGTAACATTTCTGCTGCCCTAGACTTTTCTTGGAATCAGCTGTTGTTCCTTGTTATGTCTTCAACTGGAATGCAATGTACTCAAATGAGACTACAGTCTTGTAGCAGTTCCTGCTTAATTTAACTTAGCAAACTTGTACTCAAGGACACACATTTTAAGTTGGACATTGCTGATATACCCAATAGGGGGTAGTTAAAGCACAGGGAGACTGGGTAGTTCAAAGAGGCATTGTGGACACTAAATTCAGAAATAGTTCTCTGAGTCTCAGGCTTCTTGGAGTGATGGACCATGCTGGGAAGATTAATGCTTTCATCCCACCAGCTCTCTAGCTCAGGATGCCCAAGTAGCTGGCTCTGGAAAACATCTGGTTATGCTGTTACAATGACAAGCTAATTGTTATCTGTCAACAACAGATACTCTCTTTCTGGGTCAAACAGAAAACTGCTTCCTAGCGTGTCTGGAGCATTATTAAAGTTGCATGCAGTAAGCTGTGTTTGTCTGTGTTGCAGACCTTACAGTCGAAGGGACATGAAGGAAGGTGACATAATGATAGGCACGCAGGTTGCCAGGTAAGACTTTCAGTTCCTGTTATCAGTGTGCATGGCAGATCACAACAGGAATGTGCTGACACTCCAGACATTTGCAGCCTATGTTACCCATCCTTAACTTATGTCTACATACTTCTGCTACTGACATTCTTACCTGTAAGTGGTTGGAATGTTTTTCCTCTAAGAATATCTTTTGCCTTTCTGGAGAGCATACAGACCTGTTATAAATTCTGTGTGTTGTTTCTGGTGATAATGTCTTCAAAGGCAATTTTTACAAGTGTAAAGGACCAACCACTGTACTTGACGTGCATTTTGAACTTCACATTTTAAAACCTGATGTGGTAGTAGCTGCATGTCTGCAACCATGCATGCTATCTACTCCACTGGAAAATATCTCTGCATCGCCAAAGATACAGCCCGAGCCAAAGGGTTATATAACCTTAAATCCATCCTTTTCCCAAGCTTGTGGTAATGTAGCTGCACACGTTTCCCTCTGTTGGCTTGTTCCTGCTGTGCTGCCTCTTAAGTTGCTGCCTAGGAACACCTGTGGTCTTTGACTCTTATGCTTCTCTGCAGAAACACTGAGGGCTGGGGTAAATTAACAACCAAGTCTGATGAACAGAAGGCCAGCTGTTTCTAATAATTCTAAGTTGTTTATCTACCCCTTGCCAACACAGTTTTCTTGTTGAGATAAGAAAGTGGAATTTTCATTTGGTATAGAGATGCTGATATGGGTATCTCCCTGATTTTAGATATTGCTTTTTTTCTGATTTCATTACCCCAAGAGGTTCCATCTTCAGGATCTTCAATTTTTAAATTAGGTGCAGGTTTTTCTGAGAACAGCAGCCTATCAGCAACTCCTTGCTGTTCCATGCTTCAATGTCAGCATCCACTTTCCTGCATTCTAACTCACAGAAGCCTGATCTCAAACCAAACTTGTGCTAGTCAAAGAAACAGTTGGCACTTGTGTGTGAAAATTTGGTTTATTGTGGGCGGGGCTGAATCTAAAATCGTCTTGCCGGTATTTCCCTCATGATAAGAGGTTGTGGACATTTCAGGCAAGACACTTGACACCTACAGCATCAGGAGGTATGGGTTAAAAATCATGATGTGAAATATTTCTTTTCTGAATCACAGGAAGAATGAAAGAGCCAGTATTGATTTGTTTCTAACAAGATATGGTTTGTTTGTTTGTTTGTTTGTTTGTTTGTTTGTTTTTTTTTTTGTTTTTTTGTTTTTTTTTTTTTTTAACAGGGTTGTAGAAAGCAAAAATCCTGCTTTCACAGTGGGGGCCTTTGTCGTGGCTAACAGGGGCTGGAGAACTCATTTTATCTCTGATGGGAAAGACCTACAACTCCTTCCTTCCAACTGGCCAGAATCACTCCCGAAATCTCTCGCTCTTGGAACAGTTGGCATGCCAGGGTAAGTTTGGAGATGAAAAGGCAACTATCCCCTGGATTTTGGTGTGCAGGAGGTTTCTTCCTGTCTGTATTGACCTTTGTCTTGTTGTACCACCATACTGCCTATTCACACTAGTAAAAAAGGTGTGCTTCTGGATGCCCTAGTCCTGTATAGGGCATGAAGTTTAGCCCATCCTCAGCATCAGAGAAAATTTGCCTTGGAGATTATCGTGCCTCTCCTTGAGGAGCTGTAATAAGTCAGAAAGAGGATCCAGGAAGAGCTGGAAATAATCTAGTTTAGTCTGTGTTAACCTCAGTGGAAAGTCTCAAACTTCACTGGCACCTGGACTAGGACTCTGCTTTTACTGATTGGGCTCTGTTGCTACACTGTATTTCCAGAATGAACCCCAAAATGCAAAAGATAAATGCTGTATCATGCAGCAAAATAGATGTTCTTTAAATAGCACTGCAGCAGACAGAAGTGTTGTGCTTTGGAATCTGTATACTGTTGGAATCTCTCAGAAATTCTTTGAGTTGATGGGGCACATCCAGAGAAGGGTAACAGAGATGATGAAGTACCTGGAGCACAAGTCTGAGCAGAAGCAGCTGAAGGAGCTGGACTTGTTTAGCATGGATAAAAACAGACTAAAGGAGATCTTACTCCTCTCTACAACTACCTGAATGAGGTTGTAGCCAAATCTCTAGGGTCAGTCTCTTCTCACAGTTTACAAGTGACAGGACAACAGGAAATGGCCTCAAGCTGCATTAGGGGATGTTCAGGTTGGACATCAGGAAGAGTTTCTTCACAGAAGAGATTGTCAAGCATTGGAACAGACTGTCTAGGGAAGTGTTGGATTCACTGTCCCTGAAAGTGCTCAAGAAACAACTGGATGTGGCACTTAGAGCTGAGGTTTAGTTGATCAGTGGTTGAACTCAGTGATAGCATAGCACAGTAGTCTTCTGGAGCAGTGAGCCCATCAGTTCAGCAAGTTTTTCTCAGCCTTTTTATCTTTTTCTGCCAGCTTTGATTTGTGATGAGTATAATTTAATCTAGTAGATACCAACTGGCAACTGACCTCTGTCTACAGTGGATTTACTGTCTCTTCCAGTATGTAACTCGAGTTGTCACAGAGTTATCTATGCTTCTCCTTCTGACTAATGAGCACAATGAAAACTGTTTTCACCTTAGAGAGACTTTTGCCTAAACAACCTCTTTCCCAGCAGTGTATCTGTGGGTTTTTTTTCTGGGATGGCTTTGAAAAAGCCAAATTAAGAAGATTGGATTAAGTTTTGTATTTCACAATATAGGAAAACTTAATCTTGTTCTGGTGGTGACAGTATTTTGAATCAATGTGACCAAGTCACATCTGTGTGTCTGTCATCTTTTATTTGTCACCGAACATTCTTTCCTTTTTTTTGCAGCCTCACTGCATATTTTGGTCTGCTGGAGGTCTGCAAGATGAAGCCAGGAGAGACAGTCCTGGTTAATGCTGCAGCTGGCGCTGTGGGCTCTGTGGTGGGGCAGCTCGCTAAAATTGGGGTGAGTGGCTTGAACTGCTCATACTTGCTGCTGAGAAGACATAGCTGTTAAACAGGGCAACAAGGCCATGAATGATCAGTAGGACAAGCATCCCTGAAGGCATGCCTACACTAGGGTTTTGAGATGGAAAAGCTCCTGAGAACATAGCAAATCTAGTTGGATGTTTCAGGAGCTCATATGCTGGCAACAGCCTTACTTTAAGGGTGAGCCCTTCACCTAGCACACTGAGTGTCAGCCTCTGTTTCAGGGGATGTTTATGAATGTTTTTCTCCTTTCCTTGCAGGGTTGCAAAGTGGTTGGCTGTGCTGGCTCAGATGACAAGGTTGCCTATCTGAAAAAAATAGGATTTGATGAAGCCTTTAATTACAAGACTGTTAAATCTCTGGATGAAGCACTGCGTAAAGCCTCTCCTGATGGCTATGACTGTTTCTTTGACAATGTAAGTTCAGAGAGAAGGCCTTGCCTTGAGCAGCTGTCATTTTCTTTAAACTGTAGCAGGAACTCAATATTGTAATCATCTAATTGAAGTCTACACCAGGATTTCAATATGGAGATCCATTTAATCAAGCAATGGTCTCTGTAGGAGCTTACTGCTTTTCTGTTCCCTTCCCACACGTATTTCTGCAGCTGACTTGAGCAGTATCAGAAAGAACAAAACCGAAAAGGCAAAGCTGGATTGTTGGCACTGTTTGTAAACAAAGAGAGGTTTTACTTCACCTCTGAAAAGCATGGCACGTTTTTGGAAGTGAGGGTCACAGTAACATGAAACTGATTCAGTCCATTCCTGGCTCCACCTTTGGCCACAGGCAGTTCTCTGCTATTGCTGAAAGGGGAGTTGAGTGTGGGTGGCTCCACATTATGTGGTGGTGGAGGCTGCACTGGTACCTGTAAACAAAGCAGTAGCAATGCCCACTTGCAAATTTACTGGAGCAGCCCTCAGAAAGCTTCTGACATCTCTCAAATATAGCTGGAATTAATGGGGACAATGTACTGTTCTTGATGGGTGTTTGAATGTGAACATCTTGTTTTGAAGGCTAAGAAAATTTAACAGTATGGATGCAGTTAAATTGTGTCAGTTCACTTTCAAGATAAAGAACTACCCCTGTCTCTTTTTATTTCCTACTACAACTAACATATGTATCATACCTGATAATATAATACCTGACCACGGGGGTATTAGCTGATATACTGGCCTTAAACTCCCTGGCTAGCTACCCAGTTTAAAAGAAACCATCATCACCTCTTTAGCATGTCTTTCTTTCAGAAGTGCTTCTGCTAATCCAGGGATGAAGGCCATGGTGTTTTGCCTTTCTCTGGCAATTGAAAGAATGTTTGGTGTCAGGGCAAAGTGCTTGTCTCTGTGGCAGGAGCTCCTGCCACTTGGCCTTAGCCTTCCAAATTTCACGTCCTATGCTGCTAAGGTCTTAAATAGGTTCTATGGTCATGTCTGTTCCCTTCATTCTCACTTCTGACTTTTGTGCAGAGCTCCTCACAGCAATATATTTTCTCACAGGTTTTCACTATTAAAAGCTTCTTTTCACAGCACATGCCTATTTTGGAGATGAGAACCATAAAGTAAAAAGTTTACATCACCATGATGTAAAGATGTAAAATTGCAGACTGGTGCATGGGAAAAGCAGTTGGTGCTTCTTAGCACCCTTAGGAGGAGAGATCTGTGTGCTAGTCCTTCCTGATGCTTCCAAACCAAGCTTCATGAGGCAGATTTGGAATTAAAACTAATTCCATACATTCATAACTAATTTTTAGAAGAGTGAGATTGAGTCCTCATAGCACTGTTTAAATCCAAGGGTTTCTGCAGCCACCAAGTCTTTGGAGTAGTGGAAGTCGCTTCCCTCAGTTGAACCTGTTGGTGCAACAATGCAACGTTGGCAGATTTTGGCAGTCAGTGCTAAACACTGGATTGTCTCTAATGCACTGGATTGTCTCTAATGCTGCACATGCTCTGGTTCTTGTAGGTGGGTGGAGAATTTGCCAGTGTTGCTATCAACCAAATGAAGAAATATGGAAGGATTGCAGTCTGTGGCGCTATCTCTCAGTACAATGACTCTGTGCCTCAGAAAGGTGAGGGCCTTTATTGTATCTAAAATGACTTTGTCTTTGGTGATGGCAGAAATACATAATGGCAGTCTACTCTTTACTTCCCTGTGCCTTTAAGTGTATGTATGTATACATTTGGGTAACTAACTACTGCTGTGGGACATGTGGGACACTGGGACCATGCTCCTTGTGTGTACATGCACTCATCCTCCTTTGTGCACGCTGTCTGGTGAACATCAGCTGATTAGGAATGAAGGAGTGGCTGAGATACTTAAAACAGGACTCCACATGGCCCTATGAAACAAATATAGATCAGCAGAAGGCAGGTGTGGTGTCATGATGCCATTCATACAGTAGTATGTACTTTAGTATGAGATAATGGTTTTCCCTCAGGTTTTTAGATGATGCAGCTTAAGCTTTCTGGATTGTTGTTTTTTTTTTTTTTTTTCCCAGTAAGATTTCAGCTGCTAATAAAACTGCTGAGAAATGTGGCTGAATGAATATTCGTTTTCAATAGCATTAAATTTTTCAGATTTTTCTTCTAAAAGAAATAGGAGGACTGTATTCTCTTTGGTAGCTGACCGGCTTTGGACTGTCAGATCATTATAAAAAAGTGGAACAGGCTTTTGGTAATGAGGAGACTATCAGACATTTTTGTGACTGAGGAAACTGTTTTTCTAGAATTTATAACTTAGATCCTGAGAGTTAGAGAGAGCACGAGAGCCTATCAGGCTATCAAACAAAGTGTTAAAACAGTATTTTTGAGATTCAGCTTAAGTCTCTCAGGTGAAGCTGAGGCCACTTTATTTCTAAATGAAACTGTTTTCAGAATTGTTTAGCTCCACAGCTTTATGGATCAGGCCTTTGTCTCCCTAGGTCATGTCCCTATCTGTCCATGAATCTTCGATCTTTTGTGCTGGAAATTATCTTTGGAAAATATATCTGTTGCTTCTGGCTGAAAGAAAGTGATCCAGTGGTCTTTACTGGCTAAAAGCTCATTTTATGCATTGGGACTTTTTCTGAATTAAACTGATATTGCAGGTGGCTTGCTGTTTTTTTTCTCTTGCAGGGCCTTATATGCAGATTCCCATGATTTTCAAAGAGCTTCAAATGGAAGGGTTTATTGTAAGCCGATGGAGCAACCGCCGGGAGGAGGGTCTGCAGGCCCTGCTGAAGTGGGTCGTGGAGGTAGGGAAGCAAGGAAGTTGTTTGTAAGTTGTGCTCACATTGCAGAGTCCATCTTTGCAAGAGGTCTTTTGTCATGGTTGTTCAGGTGAGGTCCCAGCATGACGCTTTCCTTCTCCCTGCCTTGAGACTCTTGGGGACACTTAAACTATAGTAAATATGCCTGATCCCGTGTGTTTTGTTGAGACGTGTGATATCAACTTGTAGACTCAGATATAATCCAGAATACATGTAAGCTTTGAAGAAGCATGCTTCCAGAATAATTCAAAAATACTTACCTGATAATGAAGATTTTCATAGTTAGAGTAATTCCTGTATCTCTCATTCAGTCATTTGTAGTATGGGCCAGGATTTCCATTGTAGTATCATGCTGAAGTTACTGGCAAGAATGAATTTATAGTACTGGGAGCTGGGCTTTAAAGGGATTTAATAGGGAATTTCTTGTATTTTATTTTTCTAGGTGGAGGCTGAGTTAGTAACCAAGTTCATTGCTGTGAGCAGTTTGTGAGTGTGACAGTAAAGGTTAAGAGGCTCTAGCTTTTATAAACATGAGGTTTTGGGATGGGTCAGGTTTTGATCACTGGATTTGCAATTCCATATTTCTATATGGGTAGAAACAGGCCTGGTTTTGGGTAATAATCCCCTACCTGTCAACTGTTTGGGGACCAAGTAGCAATAAATCTGTCCTGGTATGTTTTACTTCCTGTTACGGTTCCAAGTAAAAGGTTTTACAACAAAAGCAGATCTTCACAAGAGCCCACCTGGTTTTGCAGTTATCCTGGTGCAAGCCAGCGTGCGTGTTTCAAATGGAATGTATATGCTGGAGAAAATATTGCTGCAATTTATTCAGTTTTGATGGATGAAAATTCAGCAATTTTCTTTCTTATTTTTGACAGGAGAAGGTGAAGTGCCATGAGCAAGTCACTGAAGGATTTGAGAACATGCCAATGGCTTTTATAGGAATGTTAAAGGGAGAAAATCTTGGAAAAGCTGTTGTAAAAGTGTGAAAATCAGATATTCCTGGGAGGCTGGTGCAGGAGAATGTGATTCTGTCAAATGCTTTTAATTCACTTGTCAAATCATGTGATCGGTATGTTTCAATCATTTTGCTAGATGTTTGGTGATGGTAACTTCTGTTAATAATTTGGCTATTAAGTCTAAGTATAGTCCAGTTGCTTTGCTCTTGAAGAAATTGAGAATTGCTTCCCAGAGCTACACAAAACAAAGTGCCTTAAAATTGCTGAAAATCAGAACTGTAACAGATCTGATAGTAGCTTGAACCTTTCTATGAGCAGGCTTGTAGAGAGGAAAATCAGTTTGAAAAGCTTTGCTAACTGATGGCACATTTAATTTTTACCCATTGATTTGGCCCAGAACTTTGCGAGGGGGATTTTTTTAACCCATATCAAGGAGCAGAGAGCAAGCTAAGCTAACAACACTTGGGGATTGCAGCTTCCTCTCTAGTTGGCTTTTTTAAACATATTTTCATTAAACAGTGTAACTATCTCACTTATTCTGAGAATATGGAAAGGAAAAATAAATATCTTAATATATACTTCGCTTATGTTGTAGTTCTATTTGTGGAACTCTCTCTCTCTCACTTCTTTGTCGTTAACATGGAGGAGCTAAATATTACAAGGACTTGTTTATCCCAGCAGATCTCAGTGCAGATTATATGGATAGATTACTAATTTCCTTGAGAAATTTGTTGTTGGTGTCCAAACTTGGAGCTGACCTTGCCATAGTGTTCACCCTGGCTCTCCTGGAAGCTGAGATGAATATGATGACCCCCCCCGTGTTAAACTGGTGTCCAGCACACACAGTGTGCCAAACAAAGGAGACACACAGATTAGCAACTGTAGATATCTTAGATGTTCTGAAAAAGAACAAGGACCTGTTACTATGGTATACAGACAGGCATTGAAGGTGATGGTGATCCATTTTCAGTCACTGTGGAGGACTTCTTTGTTAGTTTGAAGGTTTCATTACTGATCCTTGACGAGAGATCCCAGGCAGCCTTAATATCTTTGCAGTGCCAGGGTTAGATGCTCTCTATGTCAACAAAAAGAGATCACTTAAGATGTAGATTGACAATACTCGCTGAGTGGACTTAACAGAATACACCCTGAAATGCAGGTCAGCTGGCCACTGGGGAAATAATGAATCTTGCCACAAGTGAGGAGGAGGTTCTGGGAGCTTTGTAGTGTTTTTTGAGGAGAATAAATTGACAGTTTGAGTAAGCTCCAGTGCTGTGGTTTTACACTGGCCACTGAGGAAGACCTGTGGACTAATACCACTGCATATCACATAAAGTGGTAAACCAAAAAAGGGAACTTCTTGTCAGTAGGCTTCAGATGCACTGAGTGGAAGTGTGCTGTTGTGTGGTATCTCTTTGTTGAGGAATTTTCAGAGGGCTTGCAAGTCCTAAAATACTGAATTAAATCCTGTGAATTAATGATCTCTTGTTTCAAGTAAAGAGATGATTGGGAAATGAACTAAGAGCAGCCACATGGAGTTCCTGTCCCTTGGTCAGAGTTGCAGAAAGATTTGTCAGTTAGAACAATCCTGGCTCAGCCTGCTTCCTCCTAAAATACTGATCTGTACATTCCCCTTGCTGTGTGCAGATTTTATGCTTCATAAATGATTTTGCAAGGCTGTTTAACAATAAAAATATAATATTTCTGTGTAAAATCAACACCACACACCTCTTCTCTGGGGAATATAGCTATATGCTCCTGAAAATCCAAGTTTTCTGTTACATGTCAGGAGCACTGCCACTACATGAATAATGACAATTAGATCCCTCATTGTCTGGCACTGTTTGGAGGTCTTGCAGTAGTTTCTTACTGTGAGCCTTATTGTCTTCAAAGTTCTAAGTTTGTGGAACAATACCTGGATTATTCCACATGTTGAAAATAAAAAGGAAATACTAAAATTTTGCAGTTTTTTACTTGTGGCAGTGGCACAAGGCAGGATGAAGGTCTCTCTGTTTCGCCCTGCTAGTGAAGCAGGCTAATCCTATGAGTACAGCCAGGGTAATGAAGTTAACAAGGTGCCAAGGTCCAGCCTAGAACAAAGATGCAGCAATGTGTTGCTGGGATTGGCTTTTCTGCCAGTACATGGCTCTGTGTGTTTTTAGGGGCAGAGCATGGGTAGTACCTTGCAGGCAGTCCAGCCTGCCCTCTGACAGCTGCACGGGGCCAGTGAGCAGCACTCTGCCAGGCACCCGCTCTTCTAACATTATCACTCTGCAGCTGATCTCAAAGGCATGCTGGGAAAGGGTGAGCTCCAGTGGTCCCACTGGCTGTCAGAAGGTGTTGAAAGGGCTTCCCTGGGGCTAGGTCAGTACAGCAGTTCTTCGCTGCATGTGTCTGCAAAGGTGGAAAGGGTGTCAGCTCAGCCCTGGGTGCAGTGGTCATTCTTAAGTCACCTTGCAGCTGTGGTTATCTGATACTCATCTCTGGTCTTTTTCTGCCGTTTTTCTCCAGTCCACATGGTCATGTTTGTGCCACTATATAAGTTACAGTTCACAAGTAGGCTGGCAGTGGGATTCTTGAGACTTTATTATCCCAGTTAATTGAGGATGTAATATTTGAGAGCGAGAACAAGAGGAAGAGTTTATGTTATCTTAAATGTAAACAGCTGCAGGCTTCATAATTTGTTGGCTAAATAGCTCTTCATTTATACATATAGTTTTTTCTAGAGTAGTGGTTTAACTGCTTAATGCCTTATGCTTGCCTGTGCAAAATGAAGCAGTCTCTGGAGTTGTTCCAGGCTCATAAATATGCAACTTATGTCCTCTTCCTAAGCAACATCAAACTGGGGCTGGTGGCAATAACTTGTCTGAGCTCAGGACACAGTGGGTACCTCCTTGAGGAGTTCACCATGGCCTGCCACACCAAAGATGGCCTCTGTAAGCACTGGGAATTGTTGCAAAGGGCTGTGGGTTGTTGAAACCAGGGAGCTATCTCTGGAATCCACTGCTGCCTGATGAGCTTCTCTCATGATACCCCCAGAGTCAGTGCCCACAGGAAGGATCATGAGACACCATAGCCCAGCCACAGCATCCATTTCCATGTGAGGTGAGATCTATTCCCCCACTGGATCAAATCCAACCTTAAATCTGCCACCACCTCTGCCTGTACTGGAGCAAGCAAGCCATACCTGTGATCCTTTGCTTTTATTTTGCTCCTATGATCCCTTACTTTAATTGTTCACCTTCACCATCTGCTCCAGACAGGCTAGCTTGCTGCTGGGCATTACCTGCAGTGTAGGGAGATGACTCCTGTCCTTATCCTCAACCCATCATCACTAGCTCAGTGTGGGCTCAGCCTCCTTTGGTGCAATCCTGCATAGTGTTGCTAAAACTGCCCACAGTGTTTCCCTTATCAGCAGGATTAACAGATGCAGTACTGTTCATGGTGTGTGTCCTTGCTCTCCCCCAAGTGTCCCTCTCAAAGGAACTAGAAACAAAGAAGGTTGAAATACCAGACTTCATTTTCTCCCTGAGCAAATGCCATGGATTTATTCAAGTAGAGGGGAGATGACCCAAGCCTAGTCTAAAACTCTTCCTCCTTCTATGCCTTCTAATGCTTAGCTTTACCACTCCCTAGAGTCTGTTTATACCTCTGTTACATCCATGACAAATGTTCCAATTCCTGTAAGTCAGGCAGATGGTGCCACCAGGAGAGTAGGAGCCCACCTTCCCCCATGCATTCTCTTCTAGCCCATTACCTCTAGGTATAACCATCATCCCAGCACTGTCAGAGAGGTACAAGCATAGGGCATTCACTGAGCCTGCCTGTTATACACATGTATAAACCCCACAGACAGCCGTGGCCACCTTGTGGTGCTCTGCATGGCACAAGCTTCTGTTTGTCAGCTGCAGGTAGAAATAGAACTTCATGCAGCTCCCATGCCTCCCTCACCTTGTCTGTCTACCAACCTGGACTGTAGGAGGAAAAATTGCATTTCAGGTGGATGTCCATCTCCACTATTTCCTCAGGTGTTTTCATGTTTCTCAGACTCATCCAGTTCATTCTTATCCAGGTTTTTTTTTGCTGGGGAGGCTGCAGGGGTGGCTTCTGGTGAAGACCAGAAGCTGCCACCACATCAGATAGACCCAGTGACAGCCAGCTCCAGAGGGGACTTAACCAATGGCCAAAGCCAAGCCCTCTGTGATATCAGAGTTTAAATAAAAACTCTAAACTATAGTGGTAGCGAGAAAGGAACAAGAACATATGAGAAAAAGCATCTTGTAAGACACCTTCACCAGGTCAGACTCTCCCACCCTTCACCAAGGGCCATGGACTAGCACAACAGAGTTAATCCAGCAAGGATTTCAACAGTATGCTCCTCAAGCCAATTCCTTTGGTGGCTGAAAGCTGCATGTCAATAGAGCACAACACGGAGGAGCTGCTATTGCTGTGTGTTGGCATTGGTAAAAAAATATATGTAATTTTTTAGCTTGGTAGATCCAGCTAGTTTTAATGTTAAAGAAATTAAACATTGAAATTATTACCAATACTCTTACTAGAATCATTTCAGAGGGGAATTAAAGTCTCCATTCAGGTCAAGGAAAGAAGGGAAAGCAGATGGCTAGCTGGAGTTGCAGTTAGGTTGACTGCAGCAAGAGATGGGAGACATGTGCGTGGTTAAGCACCTCACATGCGTGACATACACTTCTCCAAGTGTACAACAGGCCTTTCAGAACCCCTGGATGGAGGTAAGGAGTGTGACTATTCCACTGCAATCTGATTAAGCACAGTTCCCATGCCCACTCACTGTGATCCCTTGGTCTTTCCTTTCATGTTAGTCCTCTCTCATTACTCTTCCTGTTGGCCAGCCCATTATAAGCAAGCTACCTAACAGGCCTGCAGACTAAAAGATCTTGTTTTTCTTGTTTGACAGCAAGGGACAGATCCCAGCTATTTCATAGCCAAATTACACAGACTGCAGTCATTGCCTGAGGGGATAATTTCTTCCTGAAACCCTTATTCCCAAAAGAAACCTTTCCATGTTGTTTTTTTTTTTCTGCTGTGTACATCAAGTCTACCAAACATTCAAGTCAGTTGGCTATCTACTCTCCTCCCTCTTACAGG